TGGTGCCCTCCCCTACTTACATTGCGTCGTCCTACTTCGGCGTAGTAATGGGTACAGCGCACTGACTTACCTTACTATACATGAGTTCACCTTCCTGGTTGTGTTGAGCATTTTCCTTTCTGATGACGATCAGGTTATCTTGTCTAACTATGATTGTTTTTTGTTTTGCTTCTGCCAAGAATTCTTTCCATCCTTTTGTTCAAGAATGTGTAGGTTAACGATCAAAACATATCAAGAAAGGCTGACATTCACTCGGTCTGGATAACATCAGAATAATGCCTTACCTTCAGTCGGTTGTTCCTGAATTTTAGAAATTGTAGTTACACTACCTTTACGTCGGCCTAGTGGCGAGTGGCGTCGGCGGTGGTGCCCAAAACTCGTCCATTTATTTCTTCGGCTTGCACTTCTAGTTCTATGTCGTGTAGGATTTTGTCCTATAGTTTTAAAATCCTAGTTTAATTCTATAATTAATTCAAAGTCCGATAAATAATTTATTTCTCAATATTAAAAATACAATTTATTTAATAGAGCTTTTCTGTCTTCTATTCAAAATTAATTGAATAGGAAAAAATTAAATAAAACCTGAACACCTAAATTTAAAATAAGTTCAAAGATTTTTCCAATTTCTTTTATTCTTTAAAAAAGGGTTTGCACAAACGCCTGACAATATTGAATGGAAAGGTTAAGATTGAAAAGTGAATGGAAGTGAAAAGGAATATGATTTTTTGTTGTTCAGGCTTTTGTTTTTAAAGCAAATTTTGTGGGCGGAATATATTAAAAATACGAACATTAAATTTGTTAATCATGAATCATTTTATTTTTAATATTTTCTTTTTCTTTTCTCGTTGCGAACGCGACACTCGGGGCGCCAAAGATTTATTGTTGTCGTGCCGCTGAGTTGTAAGAAGAAGAACACGTGCAAGTTGAAACAGAAAGGTTGCTAAAGGTGCTGGGTGTCGTTGGGCAAGTTCAGTCAAATCACGGGCTAAATTTTCTGCCGCATTTGGTGGAATATTATTGTTGTGATGGGAAAGCGCTGTTTGATTATTTTGTTGGCTACAATTAGCTAACGGATAATTTTTAGCCAAGTGTTGTTTGTTGCCACAAAGAAAACAACTTTTTATATAATTCTGTGTGGTCGTTTATTGAAATAATTAAAAGATCCACCAGTCTCCTCTCTAGAAATTTTTGGAATTTTGTAACTTGCCAACGGACGTGGTGCTGTTGAACTTGTAGTCGAGGCAAAATGCATTGTATTTGTTGTTCCAATTGCTGAAGTGAAAGGAATAAATGTATTTGTTGTTGATGATGGTCCAGAAATTTGTGTTGTCTGTCCACTGAGTGCCGAAGTAGAGCAAACATTTGAAACAATTGTGGGACGGTTTGCCAACCAACTTTCAAAAAGGGATTCCAATTTAGCTCTTTTGGCTTTCCTCTCTTCCTGATTGTTTTCCGGAGGGGTTCTTGGACTTTCCTGTATATTTCCAGTAAAATTTCCTTCTCCTGCAGTTTCTATCTGAATTTGGGGATTAGAAAGATTTGTGGGTTGAATGCCTATGTTTTCAAATACCATTTGTGGCTCAAAAGCCTCAATTTCATCCAACAGACTGTCCCATTGATTTTCCGGTGGAGTAGAAAGAGGAGAATAATTTCCTGGGTCTGCCATTAAAACACCAAATACACAAAACATTATTATTCCAACCAATAAATTCTTTTTAATCTCAACTGATATGAAAATCAGCCAATTTGAACTTCTTCCAGTTGAAGATTCATTAATTTCGGGTACAACCTTAATAATTAAAATCCAATTTTTATCTTCAAAAGATTTCAGACCTACTTCTTTTCCTGTTCCAGCATTAACATCCATTTTTATTTTAATCTCCTGATCTTTTGGTTCATCAGTAGCCAGCACATTTTCCTGAATATTTAAATTATTCCTAATTTCTTCGGTACCAATTTCTGTTACTATCATTTCATTAACCTGAATTTCTTCATCCTTTTCAATCACTAAACATACCAGTTTGGTAAAGGGCATTTTTATTATTTTTGAGGAAACTATTGAAAGTAAATATAATGTGATGGCTTCCTTTCCTTTAATAGCCAAGTTTTTATAAAAATGATTATTCATTAATAATATTCCATTTCCTAAATTATGTAATCTTTTTTCAGTCTCCTGTGTGCATACACATCCTCCCAAGTCAAAAAGTAAAAATAAGGTAAAGAAGAAACATTTTTATAGCCAAAAAACATGGGGGAATTTATGAATAAGCGAATGAAAAAATAGAATAAAATAAAAGATAAAATACAGATAAATATTCCTATTAATGGAGATCGTTTAGGAAGCCAGACTGGATGTGAAAATTCACCATAATGATCGCAATTTCCTTTGCGTTTCCAAACATGCCATACTCCATCCGAGTCTTTTTTAAAACAATTTCTTTATCTTCCAAGTGCCCCATGGCATTTAATGATCTACAAATTCGCTCTACCTCGTCAAGGTAAGCACGTAAAGATCCTACCGATTCATTAGCCATCGGTAAACCAATCGCTAATGGCTTTCTAATTTCCAAATTTTCTTACTAGCGCTTCCTTTAATGGCGCATAATGTTCCAAAATTGGCCTATAGCCTAAAACTGCTCTGTCTCTCCCCTTTAAACATTGGAGTAAATAATGGGCCTTTAGTCCGTCATCAATTCTCAGACAATCCACTGTCCTTTCAAATCCCTGCCAAAATTCCGGCCATCTTAACTGATCTCCCCAAAATTAGGGTAATCTGGCCTTTGGTAAATGCTGAGTTACCTCCATAAAATTATCCTGGTAATCATCCTAGAAGCATTTCTTGCTTCATTCCTTTCATCATTTCTTTCCTCATTTCTTGGTCTTACTCCTAATTCCTCTGAGTAAGCCGTGCTATCTTCAATAGCATCTGCTAGCAGAATGTCAATTTCATCTGCAATTTCTCTGCCTGAATCGATCCATTCGGCAATATGTCTTTCTCCTTGTGAGAAATTATTAAAAATTTGTTCCTCATTTTCAGTTCTTTAAATCCAGAAATGATAAAACACGTTTAACTTTTTTTCTTAATTTTCTTATTCTTTCGCAATTTGGCCAATTGATTCTTAGTGATGGTTGAGACTGGGAGTCGTTCAACAAACGCAGAAGGGAGCACTCGCACACGGCTGATTGGGAATTTGATTGGGGAGCTGGGCGGGGCGGTGGAGAATCCAAAATCATTTTCAGTTCCGGAGACGCAAGCGGTTGTGGTGGTTGCATCGGCAGTGGGATTTCATTCACAAGCAAGTTTGTTGGTGGGGGTATAGGTGATGGAGGAAGTATTGGTGGATGGGCAGTTGGTTTAGCGTTGATTGATATTTCTGAAAATTTAGAAGAAATTTCAGCGGTGGGGGCCGCCTGAAGTGAGGATTCGGTAGTTGCCACCAAATTGGTGTTAACATCCATTGGTTCGGGAGAAGAATCATTATTAATATTATTAAAATTTAAATATTTTCACAATTTATAAATTTCATTTTGGGGAATAGGGGTTCGAATATTTTTCGTTTTCATCTAAATTTAAATTTATATTATTGAGAGGTAGGAGAGCGGGGAGGGTCGCTACGGAGTATTAATTCTTCTAAATCATTTCTAATTTCCGACATTTCTATTGGTTGATCAATGGGGGGATTGGGACCGAGAAAAATATTTATGCAATAAGGCAGCTAATTTTAAAATAAGGAGTATAAATAATGAAACAAAGCAGCCTAAAAGTGAAAATATAGCTGCCGATGATTCTGGGTGTTCTTGGATGTATGAAGAGAGGGATTCCATACCGAAATAGAGGGCCGAGGTTATACCTGTAATTGTTTCGGAAACATTCCCTAATTCTAATTCAAGGAATGTGATGAGGGAACGATATTTGACCTATGGAGGGAAATGCTACCTGTTTGAATGGGAAGGTTAAATTCTTTTTTATTATTTAAGATTTCGGTAGCATCCTCGGCAAGGAGCCGCAATTCATCGCGGCAGGGTGCTGACATTTTCTGGGTTTCTGCACCGGCTGAGCTGTAGGATTTTGTCCCATAGTTTTAAAATCCTAGATTAATTCTATAATTAATTCAAAGTCCGATAAATAATTTATTTCTCAATATTAAAAATACAATTTATTTAAGAGAAGAAGAGTATATATTTTATAATAATTTTATTGAAAAGTGAATAAAGGAAGTGAAAACAATATATTTATAGCAATTGTTTTTGGAGGAAAGGAATTTCAAAATATATGAGTGGGAAATTTTTATAGTGATTAATAAATTTCATAATTTTAATAAGTTATTTATTAATTAATTGGAATTAATTAATTGGAATTAATTCGCAGGATGCGACAGTCCCGCGGCGAAAATTGGATGAATGGGTTGGACATTGAATAGTGGGAGAAGATTGTTAGGCAAATAAACAATAGGGACCATGGTGTTAGTTATAATGGGGTTTTGTGGTGGAGCTTGGGTTTTCGGAACTGAAAATTGATTTTGATTATTTTGTATGGGCCAGTTGGGGGTTACATTGTTGCAAGTTGTTATAATATGGGGCTTTCGCCCAACAATAGGGGGAACCGTGAATTTAATAGAATTTAGTGGTGGAATGTTCGATATATTTTTTTCTTAATTTTCTTATTCTTTCGCAATTTGGCCAATTGATTCTTAGTGATGGTTGAGGCTGGGAGTCATTCAACAAACCCAGAAGGGAGCACTCGCACACGGCTGATTGGGAATTTGATTGGGTTGCCGTTTCCTCATCGGCCTGACGTCAACAGAAGTTCATTCGAACACTCTTGTAGCAAAAATAATTCACAAAAATTTAGACGAAGCAATATTCTTATGTGTATGAGAACAGTTCACTGAAATAAATTTCCAAAGGCAAAAACTTAAACGAGCTACAGTAAACTATGAAATTTTAAGAAAAATCTGATTAATTTCAAAGTTTATTGATAGATAAAGTATTAACGAGATTATTTGCAGTTATTTTTCATGAAAATCTATTATATTTTTATTTTTCTGACATATATTGGTAGTTTTTTAAAAATTAAAAAAATTATTTTTCTTCTTTTCTTCCCCTTCTCTCCAGCAAAATTCTTAGCGACGGGTACCCCAACAATAAAGTTTGCAAGAACCAGGAAAAAGAAGCTTTATGAGTTAAATGAAGAGAGTCACTCAAATTTAGTGCTAAAAAATTTTTTAAGAATTGTCCGCAAAATTTGTCCGCAAAAATTTGCGGACAAATTTTGCCGATTTTTAAAATTAAAAATTTAACCAAAAATAGCTTCAGTTATGTGTGCAATCCAAGCCATTATATTTATTAAAAATAAAAGTTGAGAGTATTCAGTGCCTTAAAATCATTGGAATTATCCAAGAAAAATTGTTTAAAATTTTTTAAATTTATACTTGTTTTATAAGCAATTTGGCCAATAAAACTTAACAAGTTTGAATTAACTAGTTCCGGGTTGATATAGGCTACCTTAAATTTAAAAATTGAATTTAATTTTAAGTGGGGTCCGCACTTACGGTCTGCAAATTTTTGCGGATAATTTTTAAAAAGGTCCGCAAATATTTGCGGATTCTGTTTGCGGACATTTATAAAAGTCCGCAAATACTTGCGGGCTCTAATTTCCGTCCTAAATGTCAATACTCACAAAAATCAACAGCATAGCTGGAGGTATAATTAAAAACCAAAATATTCTTGCCAGTTCAAAATAATCATTATCATTTATTTTTTGATCTTTTAAATTTTCTTTCCCTTTAGTTTCTTCTTTGGAAATATTTTCGTATCGAAAATTGATAAATTCTCTTGATATTCTTTGCATATTTAATGAAAATGAACTGAAAAATAATTTATAAATTTTTGTCCGCAAAAATTTTTGCGGACACATTTTTGCGGACTTTCTGCAAAAAATGTCCGCAAATTTTTGCGCATTAGCATTATTTTAAATAGCCCACTTGTATAACATAACAAGAACGTTTAACCACGAAGGAATGAAAACCAAAACTTTTTCTTTAAGTATAGCATCAATAATGCCTGAAGTACATCTTTCTATAGACATAAATGGGATCCATCTAGTATTTATTAGGAAATTTTAATTAAAAAAATTTCAAATTTTGCCTAGAAATAGGCCTCAATCCTTTATCCAAAATCATTGGAGTTCTAACAAAATAAGGGCAAATAGTTGTACATTTAATTACTTCTTCCAAGCCTTTATCTCTCAATTCCATTCTCAAACATTCCATTGCCCCTCTAACGGCAAATTTTGTTGGACTTGAAATAGGGAAGGGAAAGATGATTTTTAAAAATTCTAGAAATTTATTTTGGCATTTTTGGGATTGTGTAGATAGAGTGGCTTTATCAGAAAGTTTTTTGCGGACCTTGTTTGATTTTTGTCCGCAAACTTTTTGCGGACGTCCGCAAAATTTTTGCGGACAGAATTTTTGTCCGCAATTTTTTGCGGACAAATTTTCTCAAATTTAAAAATTAAAACCAATAAGCCATTCCAAAAGTTTCTCCAAAAAATCCGGCAATTGAACAAATTGCTACTATTTGACCATTTTTATTTTTTTCCATGTCTGGAAGGAATGCTCTAATTGTCTAAAATATAAAAAAGAAAATTTTATTTTTTATGGTTGTATTTTTGTTTCAAATTTAAAGGTTCTCTTCGTCTTTTGACTGTTAAGTCCGCAAAAATTGTCCGCAAATCTTGTCCGCAAATTTTGTCTGCAAATTTAGTCCGCAAAAGCTGTCCGCAAAAGTTGTCCGCAAAATTTATCCGCAAAATCTAAGTTGTCCGCAAATGTTGTCCGCAAAAGTTGTCCGCAAAATTTATCCGCAAAATCTAAGTTGTCCGCAAATGTTGTCCGCAAAAGTTGTCCGCAAATGTTGTCCGGGGGTCACTTTAGTACGTGGGTCCCGGAGTTAATATACAAATGTTATACCATTCGAAAGAGCTCCTCGAGCTGAGTCGAATGACACCAGTTTTAGCCCGAGGAAAAATTTTTGGACCGAGATATAAGTCCCCGAAATTTGAAAAAGCATAGGGGGGACCAAGCACTTTTTTGGGGTGAAAAATTCGAATATGAGAATTATACCTCATTCGAAAGAGCTCGACAAGCTGAGTCGAATGACACCAAAATCACCATGATTGAACAAGATTAGACAAAGTTATGATACAAAAAACAAAAAACCTAAACCTATGAAGCGTCGGCAAGGCGCTTGTGCAAAACCCCGCGCTTCGCGCGGGGTTTTGCGGCACGCGCCTCGCGGGGAGTCTACGAGTGCTGGGTCTGGGCTCGTAACATAAACCTATTCCTATCTCCCTTGCTCTGGACGTATTTGGGGCCTCCGTAGCAGCAAAAATCTCCACAGATGCCATAGGTAAGGAGCTGAAATAAAAGATCATAACTTTGTCCAATCAAGTCGGATTTTGTTGATTTTGGTGTCATTCGACTCAGCTAGAGGAGCTCTTTCGAATGAGGTATCATTTGCATTTTCGAATTTTTCACCCCAAAAAAGTGCTTGGTGCCCCCTATGCTTTTTCAAATTTCGGGACCTATATCTCGGTCCAAAAATTTTTCCTCGGGCTAAAACTGGTGTCATTCGACTCAGCTCGAGGAGCTCTTTCGAATGGTATACCAATTGTATATTAACTCCGGGACCCACGTACTAAAGTACAGCCGTTGTCCGCAAAAGTTGTCCGCAAAATTTATCCGCAAAATCTAAGTTGTCCGCAAATGTTATCCGCAAAATCTAAGTTGTCCGCAAAAGTTATCCGCAAAAGTTGTCCGCAAACATAGTAACCTGTTTTTAATCTTTATAATTAATAAAAACTTAAATTAATTGTCCCAATAACATTAACATTAAAAGCTGTTTTAATTTCTTCACTTTTAAGTTTATTTGTTAAAGCAAAATAAAGAATTGCTGCATTACATATTACAATATCCACAGAACCTTTTTTAATTAATTTATTTAATTAATTAACATTAATTAATTCACCAAATTTTTCATTAATTTCTTTTACACATGCTTTCATTGAATCCTCATCAGAAATATCACACTCCCAAGCTTCTGCTACACCCCCAAGTTTATTTATTTCTTGAGCTACTTGTTCTGCTCCTTTCTGGGAATTTTTAAAATAATTAAAAATATTTTTAATTTAAAAAATCAGAATTTCTAAAAGCCAGAATTTCTAAAAATCAGAATATTTAAAAATCAGAATATTTAAAAAATCACAATTTTAAATAGAAAATAAACTTTAAATCAGAATTTTTAATTAGTAAATAAACTTTAATAAATCAGAATTTTCGATAAGCTGTTTTTCAGAATTTTATTTCAGAATTTTAAACAAACTTGAAATAAAACTTGAAATAAATCAGAATTTACTAAAAATAAACTTGAATTATTTTTTAAAAATTTCAGAAATTCTGAAATTTAATTTTAAATAATTATTTATATTTATTTATTTATTACCAAATTTCTATCAATTATAGCAACCTGAGCACCCAACTTGTCAGGTTCTGAGAATAACTCAGCTAAGCGTTTGCCCTTTATAAAATATCTTTTTTAAGGAAAATTTTTTTTTAATTTTTCAGAATTTTAAATAAAAATCAGAATTTTTTAAAAATCTGAATTTTTATTTAATCAAATTTTACAATTCCCGAAGCTCCACCAGTAATAACAACAGTCTTCCCCCGTACACATTTACGCCTTAATCGCAACCACCTCCACAAATCTTTGGGTAATCCAACAAATAAAAGAATTAAAATAACACCCAAAACATGCGATAATCGAGAGAATATTGATTCCTTTGGGGAATAATTTTTAACATTTTTTATTTTAGTTTCAAATTGTTTTTTATTTTTTATTGTTTCTGCTTCCATTTTGTTGGGGCGTCGATAAGGGGATTTTTCTTCTGAAATTTAAATAAATAAAAATAAACTTGAATCCGAAATAGAAAATCAGAATTAAAGAGTCAGAATAAAAAGTCAGAATATAAAATCAGAATTAAAATCAGAATTTAAAAATCAGAATTTAAAATCAGAATTAAAAAATCAGAATTTAAAAATCAGAATTAAAAATAAGAATTAAAAATCAGAATTTAAAATCCGAATTAAAAATTAGAATTAAAAATCAGAATTAAAAAATCAGAATTAAAAAATCAGAATTAAAAAATCAGAATTAAAAATAAGAATTAAAAATCAGAATTTAAAATCCGAATTAAAAATTAGAATTAAAAATCAGAATTTGAAAATCAGAATTAAAAAATCAGAATTTAAAATCCGAATTAAAAATTAGAATTAAAAATCAGAATTTGAAAATCAGAATTAAAAAATCAGAATTAAAAATAAGAATTAAAAATCAGAATTTAAAATCCGAATTAAAAATTAGAATTAAAAATCAGAATTTGAAAATCAGAATTAAAAAATCAGAATTAAAAATCAGAATTTAAAAATCAGAATTAAAAAATCAGAATTAAAAATAAGAAATAGTATAATTTTATTTGGATAAACTATAAATCAGAATTTTAATAAATAAACTTGAATTAAGAGTTACTAGTTTAGTGTTAATAAAACCAGAATCAGAATTCTAACAAATAAACTCAACGCTATTTAAATCAGAATTTATTTTACAGAATTAAAATATAAATCAGAATTATATAAAACATAAAATCAGAATAATTAAATCAGAATTTTTAATTAATAAAATAAATCAGAATTATTATTCAGAATTAAATCAGAATTAATAATTAAACTTAATAATTAAACTTAAAATCAGAATTTTTAATAAAAAAATAATATGTACTATTAGGAGGAAACAAATTCTTTTTTTTGTATTAAAAGCTAAAAATTACCGGAATAAAAAGAAGCATCCATCATTTTTTAAAAATAAATAGCTAGTAAATAAAAACAAAATAACAATAACTAATTGATAAAAATCTTTATCTATTTTTTGGGTAATTTTATCGGAGAAAAATAATTTTTTTTTGGTTCCATTAAATTGTCCAATTTATTTGATTTTTGCAATGATTTGTTAGAAAAAATAAAATAAAAATTAGTGTAAATTTGTTTGATAATTTTGCAAGGGAAAATTAATATGTTTAATTGGAAATTCTGATTTAAATTTAAAAATTCTGGTTTAATTATAATTCTGATTTAATAAAATAAAAGTTTTTAATTCTGATTTAAATTCAAGTTTAAATTAATAATTCTGGTTTAATTACAGAATCAGAATTTAACTAAAAATTCTGGTTTAAATTAAAAATTCTGGTATAATTCTTTTTAACTAATAAGTTTAATTGAAAATTCTGATTTAATTATAATTCTGATTTAATAAAATTGAAGTTTTTAATTCTGATTTAAATAAAAATTCTGGTTTAAATTAATAATTCTGGTATAATAATTCTGGTATAATTCTGTTATAACTAATAAGATTAAAGTTTAAATGAAAATTCTGATTTATACAGAATTTACTTTTAATTTCGTCTTAATTAATAATTCTGATTTAATTAATAAGAATTAAAGTTTAATTAATTCTGATTTAATAAAATTCTGGTTTAAGCATTTAGAATTCTGATTTGAACAGAATTCAAGTTTAAATAAAATTCTGATTTTTAATTATAGAATAATTTAAGTTTAATTAATTAATTAAATAGGCAGGAAAATTTAAATCGAAATTGATTCAAATAAAATTTTTCTTGAGATGTTTAAATATTTTTTATTTTTTTACTGGTCAAGGTCATTGCTTCTCGTTAACGTTTTCTCATTAAATATTAATCGAAAAATGGGACAATTTACCGTCGGATTTTTCACTGAACTGGATTTTCCGTGGAATACCCCCCCTCTTTGTCGCAAGGCCGCTTAATCGCAGACTTATAACTTTTAAAGGGATGTCTATTTTGGATTTGATAGAAATTTTTTGATAAAAATTTTTCACTTGAAAGAAAATTAGCTACAAATTAAGTGAAAAGAAACATTTATGGGAGCTTTTTAAAAGGGGGCGTCGATAATTGGGATACGCCCAAATAGGCGTGCGGCCATAACGGCGCAAAGCCATAACTAGCGTGTAAATTTCTGGATCCTATTAATTTTGGTACCATTCTCTTTAGCTCGATTTGGGGAATCGTTTAATACCAAATTTGGTAAAATTTGGAAATCATGAAGCAAGTTATGGCTTTGCGCCGTTATGGCCGCGCGCCTAATTGGGCTTACCCTCGATAAGTGTCACTGCGATTATATGGCCTTTCTTTGTGAATTTAAAAATTTTATAAATAAAAAATTTTTTTTTTCGGATTTCAGTTTAAAATTTAAAGTAAAAATGGTCGATACAAACAACAACAATAATAGTCAACTTGACCAAGAAGAAAGCCTAACTACTTCTGCATCTTTGCCTGATACTAAATTTGTGACCAACAAGGAACGGCAAATTTATGGATGGATTGACCAAATATTGCGTATTGAATGTATGTAGGTTTGTTTAAATTAAAAGGAGGGAGGTTGATTAGGAGGGGAATTTTAGAAAAATTGATTTGATCCGCAAAAATACGATTTTAATTTTGCGGACTTTGCGGACAAATTTTTTTCTTGCGGACTTTTTTCTCTTTCGGACTGCCTTTATCTTTTTTTATTGATGTCCTCGGCATATTCTAGTATCCTGAACACATTTAAATGAACTCTTTTGAGTTAGCTATAAGGAGAGATCCTTTGGTTCCTTCTTATGTTAAATTTTTTACGGATTTTTTGAAATTAGATTTTTTTCTGAAAATTTTTATTAATTTATAATTTTGAGGGACTTTTTTTGTGTATATGACCTATTTTATTTGTATCAAGTTTATTTTCTAGGTAAGGGCTGGGGCTATTTACTTACAAGATTTAACCGCTAATTTTGCGGATAATTTTTGCGGATTTTGAAAATTTTTCTATCAAACTTTTTTCGCTGCTATTTTTTATTTTTCGTCTTTTTCTCTCAAATTCAGGTTCCTTGCTTTTTAAAGTTGCGGATAACTTTTGCGGACAATTTTTTTGTGAATATTTTTCATTAAAAGTTCCGAACAGGGTTTAATTTATTTTTTTTTATTTTTTTAGTGATTGACGGCCGTGTTTACCAAGGCATTTTGTTATGTGTAGACAATCAATCTAACATTATTTTGGTTTAATTTAAATTTTTTTTTGAAATTTAAAAAAAAATTTTAAGGGAGATTCTCGTGAATATTGGATTAAAAGTGTCAAAAAAGACAAAATTTCACAGTCTCCGTCCGCTCAAAACAATTTGGAGTCAAACGAATCTTCTTTAAAAACCAAAAAACAAAAGAAAAGAAACAAAAAAGGAGGGAAACAAAAGGAGGAAGTTGAAGAAGTTGAGACGAATTTTGGGAGGAAAAAGGAACTGTCGCCTATGAGGAAGGTTTTTAAATATTTTTTGGGATTATTTTTGGGGTCCAAAACGCCTTTTCCTCCGTTCCGTGTTTTAATTTTTGGTGGGGTCTAGTATTTCTTGGAGAAAAATTGACTCATTGTCAACTCCTCGAAGTGAATGGAACGGTACCAAAGGTGGGGGCAGACTTCGAGATACATACACCCTGAAAATCGAAAAACCTTAGGGGGAGGGTTGGGGCAAGCTCATTTTGGAGTGAAGAATTCGAAAGGCAAATGATATGTATTTTGTTTGAAAGAGCTCTCCGAGCTGAGTTTCTAACGAAACCGAACGACCAGTTGCTGCCTCCTATCATTTTCCCCATTTTAAGAGACCTACAGCCCCCATCAGCTCCAGCCTTTTAAACACACGGCGCTCCGTACCTTTTCTAGAGTTCTCGGATTTATTAGTATCCCCCCTCCAACACTCCAGTGGATCTGGGACTATCTTTTCTTATTAAATTAATTTTTTATATGTACCTGAAAACTTTTTTAAGGTTGGAATGGCAATGATTGCAAAAAGGTACATTAAGCACATTTATTTGGTTGAATCGCCTGATGAAGAATGACTTTTAAGAATGTCTAAGTTACGGGGTTTAAAATAATGTAGTTCTCTACCTCTCCAAGTAACTTTTGTTTTGTTTTTTTTTTAATTTAAAAATATTTTATAAATTTTTAAATGATGGAAAATATTTTTTCTTTTTGTTTAAATTACATTTTTATATCAGAATTTATCTAATATTTTTTAATTTTTAAAAAATTTTAAATTTAACAAGTTAAAGGACTTAAGAAGAGAAATGTCGGTGACTTTACATACAACTGCTGGAAATATAAAAATTGAATTGTTTTGTGAAAAGTGTCCAAAGAGTAGTGAGGTTATTTTTTTATTTAATTTTTAAAATTTTAATATTTTTGGGTGATTTTTAGCTGAGGTGTTAAAAAGGTGTTAAAAAAAGGAATTTTTCTGCTTGGATTTAAATAAATTGTTCCACTAATAAATATAAAAATAAAATTAAGTTCTTTTCCAATTATTCCTAAATTCTTACTAAAGTTAAATTTTTAGCGAAACCTCAGTTATAAAATTAACTGGCCCTCAGTTTGTTCGAACCATTGTCCTTTTTCAACACCTTATCCCACTTAACCAAAATACTTTGTACAAAAATTATTAAAATTGACGTCCATTCCTAAAGTTTTTATCGAAAATTTTTGATCACTCACTTCAGACCTTATGATGGAAAATCAATTTTTAAAATTTAAGGGCCCTGAAACCCCGAGCATTGACACCCCCAGCAAAATTTTCCTGCTAAAAATAATTTTTAAAATTTTCTCAACTTCAGAATTTCCTCGCCTTATGTGCCAGTGGACAATACAATGATTGTATTTTTCATCGCAATATAAAGTCCTTTTTAGTCCAAAGCGGTGATCCAACAAATCGAGGTTCTGGCGGTCAATCTATTTGGGGAGCGCCTTTTGAGGACGAATTTTATGAAGATATTAAGGTTTTTTTTAATTATTCTTCCCTCTAGTAGCCACCTTAAAAGGTCGTGGGTTCGAACCCGCTCGAGGCCCTTTAATTTTTAAAAAGGTGTTTTCTATAAATTTTTTCCGCTGAATTATTTTTGGGCTTTCTTTTTATCATTTTTTTTTATTTTTTAAACTTTTCCCTAGAATTTTCCCTTTAATTTTTCCAGTTCGACGCCCGTGGAATTCTAGGCATGGCAAGTAATGGCCCAAACACAAATCGCTCCCAATTTTTTATTATTTATGATAAACAGCCTTCTCTGGACTTGAAATATACTGCTTTTGGAAAGTAATTTTTGTTAAATTTTAGAAAATTTATTTTTTAATTTTTAAGAGTTATTGACGGTTTTGATACTTTGGAGGAATTGGAAAATACTAAAGTTGATTCTAAATACAGGTTTTTTTGATTTTTAAATTTTAATTAGTAAATCATAGAGTATATTTAGGTAAATTATTTTCGATTTTATATTACCTAATTTAAGTTGATTTGTGTTGCTATTTATTTTTCGTTTTGGTGGGTGTTGCTTGTAGGAGTATGGGGGTCGTGGGTTCGAACCCGCTTGGGGCCCTTTAATTTTAAAAAAATGTCTAATATTTTTTTAAAATGTTTAATTACTTTTTTACTATTTCAAGTATTCCTTTCAACTTTTCCAATTCACAATTTTAATTTTATTATTTTTTCAACTGAATAGAGGGTCGTGGGTTCGAAACCGCTTGGGGCCCTTTAATTTCTAATTTATTTAAAATTATCTAAATAAATCCCAAAATCATTTTCCACTCTCAATTTATTTCTAAAAAATTTTTAGGCCAGTAGTGGAACATCGAATTCGAAATATAACTATTCATGCAAATCCTATAGCTGATGCACACGCAGCAGAAGAGAGATGATGATTTGTGGGGGGTTTTTCACAAATATTTTTTAATTTATTTTTTATTCACTTTTTTGTTTAATTTTTTTAAATTTAAATTTATTTAAATTTAAAATAAAATTTTTTAAATATTTTTCCCATAGCGGTTCGTACCGTCTAATTATTCTTATACATTTTTATCCCCTGTTAGACCTCATTATATGATACATACACCTGCAATACTAAATACACTTTTAATTTGAGGTATATTTTTTAAATTTGATTGACCACTAGGTGGGGAAAAATTTAAAAAAATTTGTACTGGTATTAAGATTTTAAGATTCAGTCAATTTATGAGGGGAGGTCGTGGGTTCGACCCCGCTCAGGGCCCTTTAATTTTTAAATTAAAGTTATTAACCGAATTTAGAGTATAAATGCAAGTAAATAGTTTTTCTGTGGTTTTTTAGATTTTTCGTCAATTTCCAAGCAGAAACCTCTATTTAACATAAACCCTCTTTATAAGGCACGATTTTTTAGCCCCAGGGTGTATCTTATATTGAGGTTTTTTGTTTTGTTTATTAATCTAGTTTTAAGTTTGATTTTTTCTCAAGTTTTTCAATGATTGGCCATATTTCACTTTCTATTAGACGCTTATTACTTTCACAACAAAGACGGTGTTTGTTGCTAAATAAAAGAAAAATTAATAGAACTACAAATTTTCAACAAAATTCGGCATATTTTGAACAGGTTTTTTGAATTTATTTAAGTTAAAAAAGGTTAAAATAAATGTAAAATTGACGGAAAAATTGTTTATTTGTCTTTATAATCCAAATTTCATCGATAACTTTAATTTAAAAATTAAAGGGCACCGAGCGGGGTCGAACCCGTGACCCCCCTAAATTGGCAGGATCTTAATAGCAATAAAAATTTTTTTGAATTTTAGTCTTCCACAAATACAAATTCTTCATTAAAATTGGATAACCAAGATGATGATCAAATATTGGAGTATTATGAAGTGGAAGAGGAGGGTGTTGATGTCCCAATGGTGGCTGAAACAGAGCCTTACCTTAGAAGAGGTTTACTTTTGAATTTTTTTAAGTAAATTTTTTAAAAATAATTTTTTGTTGATAGAACTCCCAAAAAAAATTTTTCAAATAAAAATTATTTTTTTTGTGCAGATTTGCAATTAAGAAACTTTTCTACGCTTTCCCCAGATGAAGTAATTGAAGTATTGGAAGATCAACGTGCTAAGGACATTGTTTGTTTTCAAGTAAATTCTTTCAAGTATTCATTTTTCTAAACTCTTTTTAATATTGATTTACTCAAAAAACAATGGAAACTTTGATTCTGAAGATTTTAAAAATATTGGACCCTGGGCGGGTTCGAACCCATGACCTCTTTCCCCTCGTTTTCCACTCATCTTCTCTTCTAAAAATTTGTGTTGATGTCCCAATGGTAGTTGAAGTGGAGGAGAGGAGGGTGATACTAACCCGAACTGTTTCTTACTTTGATTTTGATTATTTTAAAATTAACCGACTCCGAACGGGCTCGAACCCATGACCCCCCCCCTCCCACCCAAAATCTTCTCTCCGAAAATCTGCTTATGTTAGGATTATTTTTCAAGGCATCCGGAGAAAGTAAAAATAATCATGATGAAAACAATAATGCCAGCGAGCAACAGGAACAACTTCGCCCATATAGCCCATTCACCATAATCTGTTCGCCCTACAATAAAAGGCATGGAAAAGCTCTGATGACAATTGTACGGGCTTTTGTGAAAAGAAATTTTTTGTTTGAGGTTCTTTTTAATTAAAAAATTTTTCGAAGTTTTCTCTTTTAAAAAAGGGTCAAAAAGATATTCCACATCGTTTTGATAAAGATCCAAGTGGTTGGTATATGTTGGACTTGAAAAATGTTACAGTGCATATAATAGAGGAGGATTTGAGAAAAAGGTTTTTTTAATTTTTAAATTTTATTTTAAATGTAACTCCTGGCCTAACTGACTAAAAATAATGCCTTTAAAAAATAATCGGCCCCGAGCGGGTTCGAACCCACGACCCCCTCCATTCCCTCAAACTAATTTTTAAAAAGGTTTTTTTATTTTTAAAACTTTCTTAAATTTTATTTTAATTTTCCTGGCTATTAGAAAGTAGTTAGTGACCAGAGATGTTTCGAAATTTCGATTTTCGATTTTCGAGGTTTTTTTCCTTTCGATTTTCGATTTCCGATTTTCGAAATTTTGTGATATTTTCGATTTTCGATTTCCGAATTTTTGAAAAAATTTGAATTTTTGGCGCCAAAAAGAAGAAATTCTAACTTATCGACCATCACAAATTAAAAAAATTTTCGCCTGCGGCGCAGAGAAAGAAAGATTTTTGGCTTAAGGATCTTCCAAAATTCTCAAAATTTTCGCCTGCGGCGCTGAAAAAAGAAGAATTCTGGTGCTTGGTCTTCCAAAATTCCCAAAATTTTCGCCTGCGGCGCAGAGAAAGGAAGACTTTTGGCTTAAGGATCCTCCAAAATTTTCAAAATTTTCGCCTGCGGCGCAAAAAAGAAAGATTTTTGGTTTTTAGCCTTCCAAAATTTTCGCCTGCGGCGCTAGTTGGATTAACAATATTATGCTTCGGCTCAGTTATATTGGAGTATTTGCTTGAATTAAGGTGGGACTGGAGGGGTGGAATATAGGCGGATTTTACTATAGACGATTTAGGAGGATTTACTTGGATTATGGGGTCTGACTGGATAACGAGGGATTTGTATGATAAAGAGAGATATCAATGGATTTGAGAGATTAATGGTGCATGCGAGGATTAAGGTGTTTAGAAGACTAAGTTGAATATAATGTAATTTATAATAATTAAGGGTATATGAGGGGACATCGGGGGATCAATCCCCAAATGCCTCGATATCTCTTTTAATCCCCCAATCCCAGCACTTAATCCACCAAAATCGGACGTAAAAAATACTCGAAGTTTCTCCTTTACTATACATATCAGGGACTTAACCTAACATAAAAAAGTATTTTTCAATTTTCTTTTATTAAAAATTTTTTTTTCGATTTTCGTTTTTCGATTTTCGATTTTCGAGGTTATTTTTCTTTCGATTTTCGATTTCGAAGATTTTGAAAAATATTTTCGATTTTCGATTTCGATATTTTTGGATTTTTTTCGATTTTCGATTTCCGATTTTCGAAGATTTTTTTGTTTCGAAACATCTCTGTTAGTGACTAGGCTTAGGAACAAATTGATTTCAACGATTATCTGCTGTTAATTTTGTTTGTTTGTGGGAAATAGAGGGGGTCGTGGGTTCGAACCCGCTCCGCGCCGGTTATTTTTAAGGCATTATTTTTAGTCAGTTAAGGTCAGGAATCACATTTACACTTTATATTTAAGTCCCAAAATTTTTTAGATACGATTTGGAGTCCCTAATCCTCGGCCAAGATGAAGAAGAAACAAGCAATTGGTGGGAAACAAACGAATATGCAGTCTCTAATGAATTAATAGCTAATATAGAGGAAGAAGGAGAACAAAAGAAACCTAGGAAAATACGTGGGATTGCTACTGATCCGTTTATTAGGCCATTGCGTTGAGAAAATTTTTTTTAATTTTCGATTGTTTTATAAAAAGTTGTGTTTGATATACACGAGAAATCAGGATTATCTGTATTTATCCGGCTTTAACTTTTTAGAGAATATTTTGATTAGAGTGAACCCGTCTAGAAAAAGAATGCCCATACTTTAAGCTTTCGATTGGTATATAATACATTAAGATTAGGTAACAGAAAAGTTGTGGTAAACGGGCTCTCGATTCCCGCCCTGTTTTTAAAAATTTAAAAATATGTAGAGTTTAAAATTAAGTCTAGAAAATGTTTAAGGTAAAAAATTAAAAATAATTTGTTTGTTTTTACAACAATAACAAAATAAAGGTGCTTAAATATAAAAAACAAAATTTTATTAAAAAAACAATTAAATTAATAATCCCAATTTTCCCCTAATTTTGTATTTTTGCCAAGAACTAAATAGATCAAAGGGGATCAACACAGAGATCAAGTCCCTATTGTTTAAATTAAGCAGAAGTTCAAATCCAAATATTGGGAGATAGAGAATGTTTTGTGCAGATTAGGAAAGACCTGTGGGTATTAAGGAGACTGGTGGATTTGGAAGGATTAAGATGGTTTGCTGGGATTAAGGGACATTGATTTTCTTGCGCACCTGTCGGATAAGGCAAAAGGGTATAGGCTCGGGAGAAGAAAACTCGTAATTACCTTATTCCATTATAAAATTGAATATTTTAACAAGGGAAGGTTGCGAGGTGTCTTCGACCTCATCGTGAAATTCTGCCGATTCCGATGCAACCAAAATAGCTTTGTTGACTTGTTCTGCTTGGTACGAGTAATCGTTCCATCTTCCGCACTGGCATCAGATACATGTAATAAACTTTATGCCGATCTTGCTGTATTCAATGAGACGTTAGACATAATAACCAGATCAGAATGAGTATTAAAATCTTTAAAAAAATTTTTATCAAAAAGAATTTACAATGGGGTCGGCTTATGGTTAATACAAAAAAGAGTCCGGCCTAATAGAATCTATTTCCTGGTAGCTGAATCGAACTAGGGTACCTAGGGGCCGAGATGCTCAACCTGATTTGGCTATTATGTCTGACATTTCGTTGAATACAGCAAGATCGGCATCAAGTTTATTACATGTAGCTGATGGCCGTGGTGAGGAAGGAACAATCACTTTGTATGAGGCTGAGCAAGTTAGTACCGCTATATTATCTGCATCTGAGTCTGCTGAATTTCACGATGAAATTGAAGAAATGCAAATCCGTGAACACTTGCAAGATTAATCATCAATACTTATTTACCCGCTGGAATTAAAATGATATAAAATTTATTTGGATTGGATTAAAACTAAAAAAGTTATTAGTCAATAGATTTTTTCTCTCCAAAAAATGTCGAATTAAATTTAAAAAAACGTATCTTAAACGAGGTGTATCTTAAATAGAGGGTATGCAAAATTAATCCTGAATTTTTTCACAAATATTCTTCTCCTCAACCTCATCGTGGAATTCAGCCGATTCCGAAGCAACCAGAATGGCAGTGTTGACCTGCTCTGCCTGATATAAAGTAATTGTTCCTTCCTCCGCTCTAGCATCAGTTGTATCTAATAGGCTTGCAGCCTCTCTTGCGGTATTCAATGAAACGTTGGACATGAAAGCAGATCAGATTGAAATTTATGATCTTTAAAAAAATTTTATGGTTATGGTTAATAGTTTTTGGTTTATGGTTAATAGTTTTTGGTTTTTTAATAGTTAATAGTTTTTGGTTAATAGTTAACACTATTAACCTATTAACCATACTATTAACCAAAAACTATTAACTATTAAAAAACCAAAAACTATTAACCATAAACCAAAAACTATTAACCATAACCATAAAATTTTTTTAAAGATCATAAATTTCAATCTGATCTGCTTTCATGTCCAACGTTTCATTGAATACCGCAAGAGAGGCTGCAAGCCTATTAGATACAACTGATGCTAGAGCGGAGGAAGGAACAATTACTTTATATCAGGCAGAGCAGGTCAACACTGCCATTCTGGTTGCTTCGGAATCGGCTGAATTCCACGATGAGGTTGAGGAGAAGAATATTTGTGAAAAAATTCAGGATTAATTTTGCATACCCTCTATTTAAGATACACCTCGTTTAAGATACGTTTTTTTAAATTTAATTCGACATTTTTTGGAGAGAAAAAATCTATTGACTAATAACTTTTTTAGTTTTAATCCAATCCAAATAAATTTTATATCATTTTAATTCCAGCGGGTAAATAAGTATTGATGATTAATCTTGCAAGTGTTCACGGATTTGCATTTCTTCAATTTCATCGTGAAATTCAGCAGACTCAGATGCAGATAATATAGCGGTACTAACTTGCTCAGCCTCATACAAAGTGATTGTTCCTTCCTCACCACGGCCATCAGCTACATGTAATAAACTTGATGCCGATCTTGCTGTATTCAACGAAATGTCAGACATAATAGCCAAATCAGGTTGAGCATCTCGGCCCCTAGGTACCCTAGTTCGATTCAGCTACCAGGAAATAGATTCTATTAGGCCGGACTCTTTTTTGTATTAACCATAAGCCGACCCCATTGTAAATTCTTTTTGATAAAAATTTTTTTAAAGATTTTAATACTCATTCTGATCTGGTTATTATGTCTAACGTCTCATTGAATACAGCAAGATCGGCATAAAGTTTATTACATGTATCTGATGCCAGTGCGGAAGATGGAACGATTACTCGTACCAAGCAGAACAAGTCAACAAAGCTATTTTGGTTGCATCGGAATCGGCAGAATTTCACGATGAGGTCGAAGACACCTCGCAACCTTCCCTTGTTAAAATATTCAATTTTATAATGGAATAAGGTAATTACGAGTTTTCTTCTCCCGAGCCTATACCCTTTTGCCTTATCCGACAGGTGCGCAAGAAAATCAATGTCCCTTAATCCCAGCAAACCATCTTAATCCTCCCAAATTCACCGAAGTCCCCTTAATACCCCCCAAGTCTGTCCTAATCTACAAAAACTTCCTATCTCCCAATATTTGGATTTGACCTTCTGGGTAATTTAAACAATACGGACTTGACCTTCTCTTGACCTTTGCGGGTCAGGTTGCTACCCTAATTTAAACATCTGGGGGAATGTTAAAATATCAAAAAAAAGGGGAAATTTGTTAAAAAACAAAATTTTAAATATATGTTGAACTGGATAATCAAAAATCAAACGTGACCAAAAACAACTGCATCCAGAGAAGACAAAGAGGCTTTTCAGACTGTCCATTTGAGACACCTATTAATTTAAAGTTTAAAAAATATTTCAACTCAAAAAAACCTCGTATCAACGTGTGTATCCCTACAAGGAATTGAACAAAAATGAGCACCACATTTGACACAAGTATAACACGATTTTAGGCCACAAACAGCACAAAACTTGCGTGGAGGTAACAAGCTAGGCGGGGCAGTAATCTGAAGGGGAACGGGGAAAATAAAAATATGAACCGCTAAGTTATTAATAAACCTGTGTATAAGTCAAAAAAGGCGGAATTGATGGAGATATTGATCCTTGAATTTGTTGAGAAGTTGAAGGTGTTGTGAAGGACGTAGAAGCTTTGTCCTCTTCCCATTTTTTCTAGAAAATTTGTGGATTAAATTTAAATAACATTTTAAGCAAAAAAATGCTAGACTTTTGTGGCTCTGGCTCCTACCTTTTTCAAATAATGGCTCCGGCTTAGGGAGGCGGCTCCGGAGCTAGCTCCAGGAAGCATACCCCCTTCACTGCCGGACACTTTAAACCACCCAGAGTGAACTCTCCGATCTTTTGCAAGGAAAAGTAAGTACTTATCGATTATCTCCTAAACTTATTTCGGACTCCAAGGGCGGTATCAGGAGTGGGATTTCAGGAACGGGATTCTCGAAGATCGGAAATTCCCAACGTATTTTGTGTCAGGAAATACCTAGCCTAAAAACAAATAGTAAAACCCCTTTAAGACAAAAACAAACGAATAAAAAAGCTAAATAAAAAACCTCAGATTCGATAAGCAATTGAGTAAAGGTTTTCCTAAACCTCGTCTTCGTCAATGACGCAACCAATTTCTTTCCTTTTTTAGCTAAAATTTAAAGTATTAAACTTTGAGAAAAATTTTTAAACAAACTAGCATGTTCTGGAGCACTTATTTTACTTGGAGGATCATTACTTTTCTTCTTCCGTTTTTTGGTTTCGTCAGAACGAGAGAAAATTAGTTCGTCATCAAATTTTGGGGCAGATTTGTTCCAAACAATATTTGCGTGTGGGTCGTCTTGAAAGTTGTCCTGAAATGAAAATAAGAAATTTAAGTTATGGAAATGATTCAGCTAACAACAGGAATGGGCTTTAAACAAGGAAGAATGTATTTGACATAAAAATGTTTGGGGTCATGGGTTCGAACCCGCTTGGGGCCACAAATATTTAAATTCAATAATTGTCTAGATTTGACATCATTTTGAGTTTGGGAGCAGTTTTATGTCAAATCGTAAAGAAACTTAAACCTTAAAGAAGTGTTAGGCACAAAATTTTGGGGTCATGGGTTCGACCACGGCCGGGGATCCGAATTATTTTTAGAGTTCCAGTTGGCTTTGAAATGATATAATTTTGAGTGTCGTGACAGTTTTACGTCGAAACAGAAAGAAAATCAAACAGAAATTTGAATTTGGAATTTGAAGCCGGTGAAAAACTCGAGTTTAGACACCCCACCCCCCATCCCCAAAGAAAATCTCCCAAAAACCCAAACCTTTTCCAAAGTTTCTAAGTGTTTTTGTATCCGTCTCCTTCTGGCAGCTTCATCAATTCCAGTTTGGGGATGTAGAGAAATCAAACGAGCTATGAAAATTTAAAAGTTTTATTGAAAAAATGAGAAAAGATACTTGACTGTCTGGGAAGTTGTTTTTTAACTGGCGGCATTTAGAGAATGAATTAACAAGAAGTTTCAGCAAAATAATCCTTTTAGAATAGTAAAAGGAATATTAAAATCTGTACTTGAAAGAAATTTGGATTTTTACAAAAAGATGATAAAAAAGGTACAGCCCAAAACGGCGCGCCGCCATAACGGCGCAAAGCTATAACTTGTAGGTAAATGTCTGGTTCTTCTCAATTTAGGTACCAATCTCCCCAGCTCGATGAGAGGAATCGTTTAATATTGAAGCTGGTAGGATTAAAAAACCTTGAAGCTAGATATGGCTTTGCGCCGTTATGGCCGCGCGCCGGTTTGGGCAAAAAAAAGTTGAAATGAGCCAGGGACAATTGAGTCTGAGGACACTTTTCCGGCCGCTTTTATACTCTTCGATATTTTCGAGTAATCCTTATCATAATCGATAAGTCTAACAGGGTGTGCTTTATATTTTTTATATTGGGAGTGTTCAGATCCGACAAATCTCTAAAAAGTTACAAGTTGTTACATCATGACAGTCGAGAATCAACAGCGTACTTTAGAGTGGGGAACGATTCAGTCTCGAGGCCATATTTTGGGCATAACTTTTTTGATTCTTAACCGATTTAAATAATTTTTATATCAATCGAAAGCTCTGGATTTAGGGATTATTTTAGATAACAGGATTGATTTGATCAGATCATCCTACAAAAAGTTACAGCCTAATAAATAGCAAAAATCACGATTGCGCGCACTTATTCAACTATAACTTATTGCAGGATCGTCTAATTAAAATGATCCTGTTAGCTAAAATGATCCTCACATCCAGAGCTTTCGATTGATATAAAAATTATTTAAATCGGTTAAGAAACAGAAAAGTTATGGCCCAAAATATGGCCTCGAGACTGAATCAACAATACTGAAACGTCCCCTCAAAACAACGTGAGAAAGAGAGAAGAAACAAACAAAAAAGTGTACATTGTGTTGTTTCTCTCTTCTATTTTTCTTTGTTTTGTTGGTCACAAGATTTGTTGATTTTCTGTTTTGTTGGTTTTGCAAAAAAAAAAGAGTGCATTCCCAGCTCTTGATGATTTATCACTTTTATTTAAAAAATTTCTCTTTGCTTATTGATTAAAGTGTTTCATAATTGTTTAAGTGTTTGCACGTGAGCAAGGGAGTAATTAGTGTTTCTGTGACCAGGCATGGGTCCTTCCTTTTAAAATCTGGGAGACATAAGCGGAAGAAAAAATGGAAAGACTTTGAGGCCATCAGAGGGGTCGTGGGTTCGAACCCGTTCGAGGCCGGTTATTTTTAAAAAGACGGAATTCGATTGAAACGGAAGGAAACCAGTATAACCAAGCATAGTTCCTTCTAAAATCTTTGACGTAACTAGAAGAATAAAAAGGGGACGGGACCGTGGGTTCATTTAGGGGGTCGTGGGTTCGAACCCGTTCGGGGCCGGTTATTTTTAAAAAGGCGGAATTCGGTTGAAACGGAACAAAACCGGTCTCCTTTGTTTATTATTGACTTGTTTAGTATCCGTTAACCATTTCTGACATTAATTTTCTTTTAAACCCACTAGAGGGTACCTTTAAGGAGACTTACAAGGGCTTTGTTGTTCTTGGAACCTTATTTCTTTTTTATTTTTAATTTTTTATTTTTTTTCCATAGCAATTTTCAAGCAAATTAAAATTTTGTCTAATTTATATATCAAAATTCTCGGCAATCGTCTTGACTAATTTTTGTGACCAACGAAACAAAAAACAACAAAAAATAATTTTTTTCAAAAAATGGCTGAAAGACAGACCCAATACAAACATGCTGGAAAGGATAGCGAGACGCTTCGTAAAGGCCGTATTGAGCAAGCCGTGACAATCCGAAAAGAAAAACGTGATGATGTGATTTCAAAGAGGCGCAATATTCCAATTGAAGAGTTGGTTTTTTTATAAAGTATTTTTTTGGGGGGGGGGGGGTTGATTATTAGGGGAACAGAGACTTGGGGTAGGACGCCAACGAACAAATCAAAGAAGACTAGACCTAGTCGACACGCAGTATTGGGAAGCTGGCATCTTTTCGTTGACTTAGATGTTCTATGGTCTTGGGTCTTGGGCTAGCCGCTGACAGCAGTAGGACCGAAGAATGGACTCGATTTTGTGAAGCAGTCTGTGGAAATCGTTGGCTCTTACTAGCGGGAATGGGAAACCGGACACCTATTTGTGGACCGGGGGACTATGAACTTATCCGAGTCTTGTAAGACCTCAAGCACTTACCCGAAGTCTTTGGGAGACTTCAGACATTTACCCAACTTCTTTTGGGGATTAGGAACCTTTCTAAAGTCCTAGGAACTTCTGGCACTTACCCGACGTCTTTCGTGGTCTATGGCGCTTACCCATACCCTTTAAAATTTAACCTTTTTTTCCAGTCCAAATGCTGACGCCTCAACAAGCGGTGCTGGAGGGGCAGGAATTCCATACGATCGAACCAATCTACAAGAAATTGTTGAACAAGCTCAGAGTCCGGACCCGGAGGTTCAAATGCTGGCTGTAACTCAGGCTCGAAAGCTTCTTTCGTCTGATCGGAATCCGCCAATTGATGACCTTATTTCTAGTGGAATTCTCCCTATTTTGGTCAATTGTTTGGAATCTACTAAGTTTGTTTTTTGTTAATTTTTTGTTTTGGGGGTTTGCTGGTTCCTTTGGAGGTCCTACTTTGAGTTAAGGGGTTGTTTTAGTGATAGAGCTGGGCTATTATTGGACAAATCAACCTCGTACACATTTTCTCATCTTTTAGATTATGTTTTTAATTGGGAAATCCCTAGATAGACTTGTGCGCGGCGAATACCAAACTTCGAAATACTAAACTCCCCAATAGCCGCCGAAATACCAAACTATGCTCTTTTCCATCATTGGTAGCCGATGGCTTTTTGGGGAGGGGTTGATATTTCAGCTTTTTGGTATTCAAAGTTCCCTTCTCTATTTTACTAAATGAACTTTTTGAGTTTCCCACCTGCTCTTACCTGTTACATATCTTTAATTTTCATTTAACCTTAGAAATCTAAAACTCTAAATCTCACTTAAAGTTCGACACTTCAATTTGAGGCTGCTTGGGCATTAACTAACATTGCTAGTGGTACTTCAGAACAAACTAGAGCTGTTGTTCAGGCTGGAGCTGTTCCTCATTTTTTGAAATTGTTGGATTCTCAAAATATGAATGTTTGTGAACAAGCTGTTTGGGCACTTGGAAATATTATTGGTTTATTTTTTGGGGGAAGGATATGTTTTTTAATTAAAAATTTTAAAGGTGATGGACCGCATTTTAGAGACTATTGCATTGAATTGGGAATTGTTCAGCCTTTGTTGAAATTTGTTGCTCCAGAGATTCCGCTTAACTTTTTGCGTAACGTTACTTGGGTATTTTTTTTGTTCTTTGAAAAAAATTTTTGTGTATAAGGAAGGGAGGAAGGTCTTTGATGGTAAGAAGGTCGGTTGTCATTGTGGACCTTCCTCTTAAAAGGAATCATCGTTTACGGTTATTAGGACTCTAAACAATTTTCTATGGTTGGTGAATTCGGTATTTTGATATCTCCCTTTTTGTTACCTCCCTTTTTCAATTTTTTCCCTTGGACTTCCCACCAAGTCTGTCCACAACTGCAGATTACGTAATTATATATTTTCTACATTTGCGGGCATTAGTTTTCTAAAGAATGACTTGCTGATCAATGTTTCGGTTACGGGGTTATTTGCTTCCAAATACTTAAAACAGCCATTTGCTCCTAAAAACTCAAATGCTTCCCTAAATTCGCACATTTTAATCATTTTCTAAAGGTTATGGTTAATCTTTGCCGTAGTAAGGATCCTCCACCTAATCGTCAAATTGTTCAAATGTTATTGCCTGCACTCGCCATGTTGATCCATCATCAAGATACGTCTATTCTTGTTGACACTGTTTGGGCGCTCTCTTATTTGACGGATGGAGGGAATGATCAAATACAACTTGTTATTGATTCTGGGGTAAGATTAATTTTTTGCTATGGCGTTATTTACCGGATACTTTTCTGAGCTTTGAAAAATTTTTTTCGACCATATTAGTGACATTAACCGTAGTAAAGTGTCCGAGATCACAGATTTTCAAGACTAATTGTAAGATTCTTGGTCAAGACTTGGTCCCGTGACTCGAGGGCCATTTTCACACTTTGACATTTCGGCGGCTTTCTGTAGTTCGGCTTTCCGGCATTATGGCGCTCTCCGAGTCATGACACTAGTCAAAACAAAGATTGTTTTGTTTTTTATGTCCTCCCAATAGCTTCTTTAATTTTCTCTTTATATTTTTTAGGTTGTTCAATTTCTGGTTCCTTTATTGGCTACTCCAGAAGTTAAGGTTCAAACGGCTGCTCTTAGGTTTTCTATTGTTTTAATTTTTTGCCCTTATTTTTTTTTTAATTTTAAGGGCTGTTGGAAATATTGTGACCGGAACAGATGAGCAAACTCAGCTTGTACTTGATTGTGGTGCTCTCCAATTAATGCAGCCACTTCTTTCTCATACAAAGGATAAGATCAATAAGGTTTTTTTGGAGAATTTCAAGTAGGGTTGGATCTTGACATTCACAACCCAGGCAAACCCTGACTCTGAACTTTTCGATTTTGTCTGGTCGGGGTCCAATTTTAATCTGAAAAAATTTGAAAAAAATTTTAATTTAAGGAGGCTGTTTGGTTCCTTTCCAACATAACCGCTGGCAATGAGAGTCAAGTTCAAGCTGTAATTGATGCTGGTCTTATACCGATGATCATTCATCTTTTGGATAAAGGAGATTTCCAAACGCAAAAGGTTTGATAAATTATGTAAGGTCATAAACACATTGATTTTTGAAATTCTACGGAGCCCACACTCCAAATTATACCATAGAATTCATATTTTTATCACCTTTTTCTTTAATAATTTTATTTTTTAAAGGAAGCTGCTTGGGCTGTTTCTAACGTGACAATTAGTGGACGAGCGGAGCATGTGCACTATATGGTTTATATTTAATTTTAAAAATATGATAGATTGTTGTAAAGAATCTGGTTAACCAGTAACATGATTACTCAAAACTCGGTCTTTTCTTTTATACGACACTTTATCCTAAGCAGAAGTTTAAAACTCGTTTCTAAAATCGACCCATCTTTTTCATCCCTTTTTATCATTTGTCGATAACATGAAGAGCCGTGGTCAGCAAACATTCTTTCTCAACTGTTAAATTTACGTTTTCTCAGTTTTTGACTTTTAGCTCTCTGAGGACATCCAATTTAGCAAAAAATATTCAACATTTTTATTTTAGGTAGAGAATGGGGTAATTGTACCATTTTGCAACCTTCTCGGCGTGCGTGACCCACAAATTGTTCAAGTAGTTTTGGATGGGTTAAATAACATTTTGAAAAAGTCATGCGCCCAAACTGATGAAGTTTGCCAGAAAATTGAAGAATGTGGAGGTTTTTTTTGAAAAAGTTTTTTGTACAAAAATTTTTGAAATTTAAAGGTCTTGACAAAATTGAACATCTTCAGAACCATGAAAGCGAAGAAATCTATAAAATGGCTTATGAAATTATTGACAATTTCTTTTCGTCTGAAGAAGAGGATGAATTGGTTCAGGCTGCAGCAGGTTTTTTAAATTTTCTTTTTGTTTAAAATGTGTAAGGGTTTTCTATGAGAGAGAAATTTTGACGTTGTCTGGTGTCATGTGTTTATGAACAAATTTCTTTGCGTTTTGCGACCAAAAATGACATGAAGTAGGGTTAACAGTTCTTGGAAAATCTTTAGAAATCCGAAACTGAACCGAAGAATCCTAGCATCGAGAGAAAATTGGGGGAGTGAGCAATCGAATTTGGCATGCAATTTTTCTCTTTGTCTTCTGAATATAATTTTTGGTCGTATGATGCTTTTTATTTAAATTAGGCCTGAAACATTTGTTTTAACACTTTGAAATGACTTTACGTTCAGGATCATATCCTGGGGTTGGATTTCAATAGGGACTATAATGAGGGATTCCCAAAAGATTCTGAAAATTCCTGAAAGCCCACAAGTCAAAAATTATAAATCTATTAAAAATCTTTCTTATTTAAAAATGTTAAAAAATTTTTCAGGTGTTGCGGCAGGTACTGCAGGAATGGGAGATGCTGCACAACAGCAACAAGCCCAATTTCTTTTCCAATCGACACAACAGAACGTACCGGATGAAGGGTTTTCATTCCAATAAAAAGTATTATATTTAGGTTGATATGAATGAAAAATAATTTTGAGAAAAAGTTTTGAGCCTTTTTTGATAAATATTTAATTTAATTTTTTTATTTTTAAATTTTTTGGAGAATTTTTAACAATTTTCCATTTTTTGGGATTTTTTTATGTTCACGGGAATTAGAAAATTTTTTAATTTCGACATTTTTAGGCCTTTCTCATTTCTGGAATTTTCTTTTATCAGTTTTTTATTTTAAATATGCCTAAAATTTTCAAAACAAATTTTTTTCAGTTAGAAATTACCCAACAAATTTTCACTAAATTAAAAAAGTTTCAAAATTTATTTTGGTAAAATTATTTTTTTGGAAAAATTTTTATTTTTTGATTACAAGGGCTCAAAACTTTTTGTTTGACTTTTAAAATTCAACAATTTTTTTAAAAAATCGCTGAGTGTGTTTGCTATATTTTGGTAATGTTTGAGAGATAATTTGTATTTTTTGAGTATATGTCCAGTGAGAGAGAGATATCAATCAATCAATCTATTTTATTTAATTACCTAATTTTTTGACACTCGATTTTTCTAATTTTTTTGAGAAAAAAATTTTTTGGATGCGAGTTTTGTTCTATTTTGTCAGTTTATAATTTTATAAATTGCTGCCTATGAGGGTATTTATGGAATTGATTTAAATTTTCTCACCAAAATTTTCTGATTTTTAAAAATTAATTCTGAATTAAATTCTAATTTTTAAAAATTAGTTCTCGTTGGAATTCTGATTTTTAAAAGTTAATTCTGATTTTTAAAAATTCTGGTCAAAATTCTGATTTTTAAAAATTAATTCTGATTTAAATTCTGATTTTTAAAAATTAATTCTGATTTTTAGAAATTAATTCTAATTTTTAAAAATTAATTCTGGTCTGAAGTCGGATTTTTAAAAGTTAATTCTGATTTTTAAAAATTCTGGTCAAAATTCTGATTTTTAAAAATTAATTCTGGTCAAAATTCTGGTTTTTAAAAATTAATTCTGGTCAGAATTCTGATTTTTAAAAATTAATTCTGGTCAAAATTCTGATTTTTAAAAATTAATTCTGGTCAGAATTGTGATTTTTAAAAATTAATTCTGGTCAAAATTCTGATTTTTAAAAATTAATTCTGGTCAGAATTCTGATTTTTAAAAATTAATTCTGGTCAGAATTCTGATTTTTAAAAATTAATTCTGGTCAGAATTCTGATTTTTAAAAATTAATTCTGGTCAAAATTCTGATTTTTAAAGAATTAATTCTGGTTTAATTTCTGATTTTTTAAAATTAATTCTGATTTAAATTCTGATTTTTAAAAATTAATTCTGATTTAAATTCTGATTTTTAAAAATTAATTCTGGTCTAAATTCTGATTTTTTCATAAAATTCTGGTGAGAATTTTTAGTCTTATTTTTAATTTCTGTTTTTCAATCATTTAAGCGTGTGATAAACGAGCAGTTGGTGTCTATTTGAATTTTTGTGTTTATCTTTTTAATATTCCTCTAAATTATTTTAATTATTATTGAACTTTCGATCATCATCTTTCATCTGATTTTGCTGCTTATTTTATTTTTATTTTTCCTTCATTAAAAATTTTTCTCCAGCAAAATCTTGCATATAGTTTAGTCGGCACAGTAACGGGTCGAACGATATGTCCTTCGACTTAGCGAGCCTAGTCGAATGGCACCACCCTCTAGGTGCGGAAATGCCTGTAGATCGAGATATAGGTCCTCAAAACCTAAAATATATAGGGGGAGTAAGCTAGTTTTTGGGGGAGTAAGCACACCAAATTAGCCTATCGGAGTTGGCTAGACTTTAACTTTGCTCAGAATCAAGCTTCTTGATCTGATTGGTATATATTTCGAGTCCAGGTCTCGGGTCCAACGTACTTAGTACATATAGCCCAAACTGATTTTTGTGTCATTCAACTCAGCTCATCGACCCCCCCCCTCCTATAGTTTTTTAGTTTATGAGGGGACCTACGTATATCTCGGTCTACAGGCATTTCTTCACCTAGAAGTGATACCTTCGACTCAGCTCGTCGAGACGAATCCATATTGTTTGACCCGTTTCGGCGACTAATAACTAGAGATCGGTCTTGATCTGGACCCAGTCTGGATTTTTCCTGGATCCAGATTGGTATATATTTCGAGTCTTGTCCAGGTTACTAACCTAAATCCGGAATCCAGGATTTTTGAAAATACCGATCTCTACTAATAAATACAGCCAAAATTTTTAGGTTTCTTTTAAAAAAATTTCTGTTTGTGATTTTTTCTACTTATCAAATATTTTTTATATTTTATAGCAAGTTTCATTTTATTAAAAAATTTTTTTTTTGTTTTTTTATCTTCATGTTTTTCGTTTTGTAGTGTTTTTCCCTCCTTCACTCATCATTTTTCTCTATTTTGAGTTTTTTTTGTCTTAAACGCATTTTTATTGAGAGTTTATTTAGGTATGTTTATTTTTTCTTCAGATTATCTAAATTTGTGCTATATTTATTTTTATATCTGAGCCTTTACTGAAGAAATTTTTAAAAAAATATTAAAGAAAATATCCGGAAACTTAAAAGTTTTTAAAATCTAAATAAAATTTTTTTCAAAAGCATTCAAAAGCCTTTGAAATTCAATCATTCAAAAGCCCTCGATAAGCGCTATCTTTTACCCAAATAGATGAATTAATTCTGATCACTCATGAAAAAGTTACATGTTTATAAGTGCAAGAAATCGTAGTTTTTCACAATTTCGACTTGTAACTTTTTCGTGTGGGGTACACCCCAACCTACCGCGAGGCCAACCTACCGCTGAGCTATAACTTCGTTCAGAAATCCGGGACACCCTGGTATGGTTAGATGCGCCTCGACGAGCTGAATTGAACCAAATTTTTAGCCGATCAAATTCGTTAAAAAGGAAAATGGTGGGAGATAACTAAAATGACCAAATAAGTTTTAAAAAATTCTAGAGGGATACCTTTTATTTAGATTTTACTTTTTTTAATTGGTGTTTGGAACTGCTCGTTTTCTCTAAAAATATATCTGAATTTTTGTTCCGTTATTTTTTTTGTTATTTTTGTGTTGCGCGTTATTATTATTTTTTTTTAAATTTTTCTTTTAATTCTCACCTAAAAAATTAAATTATATATTTTTTAAATATTGTTATGATTTTTTTTAAATATCTTTTTCACAAAATTTTTTTATGATATTTTTATTTTTGTCATTTTTATTGCTATTTTGTGTGTTTATGCGAATAAAATGAATGATTTTCTATTTTTTAAAATTTATTTTAAAACTTTTTAAATTTTATTTTCGTAAAAATATGGTGTTTTTACGATTTTCAAAAATTCATAACTCGGTCGAATCTCGACCGATTTGGATGATTTTTTTGTATTGTATGTAGAATCTAGAGAAGAATCACACATATTTTTTACAGACCTCAAAAAATTTCTTCGAAAAGTTGGAGACGCAGTAAAAGTTGGAAATGTAGTTGAAAAGTTCGAAATGTACACTCAGTTTGACCAACTTTTTTGCTCCGACAATGGCTTCTTTTACTGGAGTTGAAATTATTTTAGATTTATGAATGTCTAAGCTAAAATAAAAACAAATTATTTTAATATTATATGTTTAATTTTTTGAAAAAAATGAGATTTAAAGTTTTGATCGTAAACTTTTGCACCAACAAAAATAGGGGTAAATTCATTTAAAAAATTATAGCTCTTTGAAATGGAAATATTTTTCTATAAATTTATCATCATCTTAAAGCTCAAAAAAATGCTATAATATAAAATAAAAAAGTTTTAAAATTTTGCGAGTTAACAGCGAGGCGAAGCAAAATTAAAATTCACACACCCTTGATCATATATTTTTGCACCAGACTGTATATGAATTAGAAGAAATTACAGGCTTATAATGTTTAGTACTAACAGAAAATTTGGTAATACATAGAGATTTGCGATTATGTATGAATTAGAAGAAATTACAGGCGTATAATGTTTAGTACTAACAGAAAATTTATTAATACATAGAGATTTGCGATTATGTATGAATTAGAAGAAATTACAGGCTTATAATGTTTAGTACTAACAGAAAATTTGGTAATACATAGAGATTTGCGATTATGTATGAATTAGAAGAAATTACAGGCTTATAATGTTTAGTACTAACAGAAAATTTGGTAATACATAGAGATTTGCGATTATGTATGAATTAGAAGAAATTACAGGCTTATAATGTTTAGTACTAACAGAAAATTTGGTAATACATAGAGATTTGCGATTATGTATGAATTAGAAGAAATTACAGGCTTATAATGTTTAGTACTAACAGAAAATTTGGTAATACATAGAGATTTGCGATTATGTATGAATTAGAAGAAATTACAGGCTTATAATGTTTAGTACTAACAGAAAATTTGGTAATACATAGAGATTTGCGATTATGTATGAATTAGAAGAAATTACAGGCTTATAATGTTTAGTACTAACAGAAAATTTGGTAATACATAGAGATTTGCGATTATGTATGAATTAGAAGAAATTACAGGCTTATAATGTTTAGTACTAACAGAAAATTTGGTAATACATAGAGATTTGCGATTATGTATGAATTAGAAGAAATTACAGGCTTATAATGTTTAGTACTAACAGAAAATTTGGTAATACATAGAGATTTGCGATTATGTATGAATTAGAAGAAATTACAGGCTTATAATGTTTAGTACTAACAGAAAATTTGGTAATACATAGAGATTTGCGATTATGTATGAATTAGAAGAAATTACAGGCTTATAATGTTTAGTACTAACAGAAAATTTGGTAATACATAGAGATTTGCGATTATGTATGAATTAGAAGAAATTACAGGCTTATAATGTTTAGTACTAACAGAAAATTTGGTAATACATAGAGATTTGCGATTATGTATGAATTAGAAGAAATTACAGGCTTATAATGTTTAGTACTAACAGAAAATTTGGTAATACATAGAGATTTGCGATTATGTATGAATTAGAAGAAATTACAGGCTTATAATGTTTAGTACTAACAGAAAATTTGGTAATACATAGAGATTTGCGATTATGTATGAATTAGAAGAAATTACAGGCTTATAATGTTTAGTACTAACAGAAAATTTGGTAATACATAGAGATTTGCGATTATGTATGAATTAGAAGAAATTACAGGCTTATAAATTTTAGTACTAACAGAAAATTTGGTAATACATAGAGATTGCGATTATGTATGAATTAGAAGAAATTACAGGCTTATAATGTTTAGTACTAACAGAAAATTTATTAATACATAGAGATTTGCGATTATGTATGAATTAGAAGAAATTACAGGCGTATAATGTTTAGTACTAACAGAAAATTTGGTAATACATAGAGATTTGCGATTATGTATGAATTAGAAGAAATTACAGGCGTATAATGTTTAGTACTAACAGAAAATTTGGTAATACATAGAGATTTGCGATTATGTATGAATTAGAAGAAATTAAAGGCTTATAA